ATGAGAAGGCAATCGACAAGTGCATTGAGGAGGTGGCCAACGCCATCCAAGTAGCTATAACGACAACTGCAGCGAAGCGTCGACCGTGTGCTGAACCATCACCTGCATTACCTTCTACGCCTGAATGACCGGTTGAGGAGGTAGGGGCAAGTTACATTTGATTTACAAGCAACTAATACGTCTTGGCGCGGCAAGCATTTACCCTCTCACAAAATGTCCCAAATGACTTGTAACTATGTGTTTTGTTACTAATATTTGGTTTAGGTAAGCAATTTTTGAGAAAAAGAGAACTAAAACTGAACTTAATACAAAGTTATTTCAATTTACGGATAAACACTGAATCCACCATCAACTAACAGTGCAGACCTCAATAACGTTAATCAAAATCAGTGCAGTACCATAGTTTCAGAGATGAAACGTTCATCAATTCTGTGTAATTTGTCAATGAAACACATCACAAGTAAACTACGACATTATAAGACGAGCGATACTCACCACGGAGTGTTGCACGCGTGTGTTAGGGTGAGGTACCGAACTCCGAGGTCATACATCTGCCTCAGAACTGCCAATCGGCTGTCTATTGAATGACCGCCCTCCACCCCTATAAGACTTCCAATTTTCTTCTTTCTAAAAGCTTCCCAAATACCTGCAACAATTAAGTCAGCACTGTCTTAAGATATTTCAAACAACAGTCAAGTTGCACGAAAGGAAAATGAAGCTAATGTATTAGCTGACTAAATAACTAACAAAGTAGAAGTACACATATTTCTGGATGTTATCCATCGTCCAATACTAAATAAAATCAATAAAATCAATAAAATCCACGACGTTTCGGAGATGGGACTATCTCCATGTTTAGTATTGGACGATGGATAATATCCAGAAAACTGTTTACTTCAACAACTTACCATCGTCAGAAACTTTTAGAATTGAGCAACTAACAAAGTAATTTAACAGATTAAATAACTGACTCAAAGTGTCCACAGGTCCACTTACACATCTTATTTCTTTAACTTTTTTTATTGATTCTGACTGCCCAACTGATTTCTCAGAGGACTGAAATGTAGGTTACGGTATTGTGATATTTAAGTGTTGGGTGACCTGATTTTTCTCTAAACTGAAATTAAAAAATACTTATTTCACCATGTTACAAGTATTTTAGAATATAATTCTCCCCTACAAATGTTGAGGGCCCCTTCTTAATCGAGGTCCTGGGCCCGAGTCCACGTGGTCTCCCCGTTAAGACGGCACTGACAGTCTATTCGAAACAGTGATAGATGCTCAGCTAGACATGAAATTTCTCACAATTTGTAGAAGTGAAGGAGGAGAGCACAGAGTGCCAAGGATATTTAGACCTAACGGACGGGAAGTAACAGGACAGAGAAAATTTAAAAACAAGGAACGTCACATTTGTAATCTTAACAAAATGTTATGGTGATAAAATCGATGATATTAGAATTAATGAGGCATGAAGGACGCATGACAGCGACAAGAAATGCATACAATATTTTAGTAGAAACCGCAAAGGAAGGACTCTACTTGGGAGGCATTGGCATAAATGGGAGTTTAATGTTAAATTGAATTTTAAAGTAACAGTGTGTGTAGATATGAACTGGACTCAAATTTACTCCGTATGGGGTCCAATACGGGACTTTTTTTTAGTATAATAATTGATCTTCTTCTTCCAGACAAGACGCGGATTTCTTGGCCAGCTAACCGAGTGTCAACTTCTGAAGGACTTGGCTTCATGGAGTTAGTTATTGCAGTCTGGTAGGAGAAAACAAGTCTAAACCTGTTTCAATAACAGTGTGTCCACCTTTGACTTACTATGAACTGATCTGGAACTGAACCCGGGCCTCGGGCATGATATGAGAATGTGAGGTTACCTGAGCTGTGGCAAATTTTGTCATCAAGGCAAAAGAGACTGCCACAAACGCTTTCACAGTTTTGCACTTCGGCAGAGTGTTAAAAATTTTATGGTCAACTGTGTCTAGGAGAGGAATTTCTTGTTCTTACATTTTTTTTCTCAGAAGTTGGACATAACGCGAAAGGGAACATTTCGAAATTTTTCCACATACAAGGTCAGTGTAGAATACCATTCAGGACCTGTAGGTTTTCCAATCTTGTTTAACGTTATATAAACCTTACAGTTGCAACACCAATGTTAAATCACTAGTTACACTGGAGGTAACAGTTCACAATCGGTGCATTACTAGATACGGAGCAATTAACAATATCTACATATCGCAAAGAAAGAAATAATATGACATGATTTCTAGTTGCAAAGTTCGTCTTGTTACTTTGCATGACTCTACAAGCAATTATTTAGGAACATAAACAGTACAAGTTCCTCTGCCCGAACTTTTCCACTACTTTAATATTATAGCGAAAAGGTTATTGTTTACATGTTCCTCTTGCTGCTATCCAAATGAAACTGCAGGATTTGAGGTTCTCACGAGAACGAATATGGGTGTCTTGTGAATGATCGCCCTGATGATGGAGGCAGACGCTACAACCCAGAAGACAGCCATGTTCGTAAATGAAACGGCGTTAATATAGGGATTATTGTAAATGGTTGGACTCTGTTACCAGTTAAAAACGGAAGAAGCGGGATGGTGCAGATTTTATCTTACTAAGGAGCAGTCAGTACATGAGATCATCTCAAGGGATACGGCATGCAGTCAATACAGTGGTTATTATTGTAACAACATAGCAGTTCACAAAACTGAAGCTGCTGATCTGGCGACTGATGTAAGAAAACTTGCAACAAAATACAAGTTTACTTATTACAAGGTTTATTGTATAAATTTTGCTAACTGAAATGTTGTGGGAACGACGTGGACGTGCGTTCACGCTGTTTGAAAACTGCCCTATGCCGAAGAGCGCTGTAGTCACCCGCGCCAAGAAGATAACGCATACACAGAAAAGTTCAAATTTGCAAGCTCTAATTGGTCAATAACGTTATAATTTATTCTACTAGACTGAACAGTTAGTTCAAGTGAGAGCAACCAGTCTCCCCCCGGCTTGCCAAAATTCGTTAGAGCAGGGGACTGTGCCTGGTCTTCGCGTAATTCCAAAGTTCCAAGGGGGAAGAGTTGAAAAAAATTACTGTCAACGAAAATTCCTATGAACCTCGGTTTGTAACTCTGGCGAACTAATGCAACGTAAACTTCGAATTTCCTTCACCCTTCAGGTATTTAGGTACTATCTTATGGATAAAATATGGGGCTTGATCCTGCTATATTATGTAAAGAAAGAAATGAGGAAAACCGATTCTATTGGGTAAACAGCGTCTGTACATAGTTTTCTGTGTTAGAATTTGTAGATATGCAGGGCAGCCCTTAGGCCACGTGAGCGGGATGATGGTACATTACGAAATATTTCGTGAACAGCGACACGTAATGTGCCCAAGAAGTAAATATTTAACACAACGGATATTAAAGTATGTTAATTCCATTGCATTCCCATAACAGAGATAAAAATACGTTCTTTAATAAACATACAGCTTGGCGCCAGTAATTTTGAGTTCACAAGTTACCTCTTCCTTTGCATAAATTTTGAGGAGGGGCTCACACAGGCTGGTATACCCAAGTCCCCACCCGGCTCTGGGCATTCGTGTTATAATTCTTCACGGAACAAAGGTATAAGAAATGGAACTTTTACGATGAGATCGGAAGTTGAAGGATTCTTTTGGACTATACATATGACGTTACATAGGAGATGAATTGAAATGGGTAGATCAATTGATGAACCCAGTAAGTGACTTAAGTGAGTCAGACAGTCAGTTTGTTAGTGTCACTCAGTTAAATAATTAAGTTCAGAGTTACCATCTGCTGTGGTGACCAATTGCAAGTGGTCTGGATACTTCTGGATCAGCCTCTTGATGACATCTATCTGTTCTAGGGTCTGCTCCACGGCGTCTTTGTATTGCGACTTGCAGGGGACGTAGGCCACCCAGAACTGAAAGAACACAGAGACAGAGAATTAACTTATAGGATGTAGTGAAGATTCTTTCGGCAGTAAAACAGATTTGATTTCGGAAATGTTTGCTACCAATCAGTTCAGAATATTTTATCTTACCATACCACATCTAAAACCTAAAAATAAATTTACAGTTTAACCTGTTATTTAATATGGGTGGCAACTGGTTTCTCACTTTAATGGAAGAAAAAGATAGATATTATTTTAAGAGTGGGCGGGGGGGGGGCACTAGGACCAAAGACAAATATATGGAAGAAAGAACATTATAAAATCCTCTAACAGTTGTACACATCACGAAATATTATTAGAAATATTAAACATGCCGATTATTTTTCTGAACAATTTATTAAACGCACATCTAAGATTCTCAGCTTCTAGACCCCAAACAATGAAGAAGTTGATATTAACATCAATAAAAGCAGTAATACAATCCCACAAGACGCTACAGAAGAGCTTGCTCATTTTTGACATCTGCATTAGATGAGTGGTCAGCGCCACGCCTCGGGAGCGGGAAAGGCCCCCAGGTACCCATTGGTGAGGAGGCTGGGTGGCTTCAGAGTCAGTCTTGAGGCGGAAACTTAAAACATTTTACCCCTGGAAGGGATCGAACCCCGTCCATTCAATCTACAGTCAGACACTACTGACAGCTACAGTAGTCGAGTAAAACAAGAAACCATATTTCGACCTTCAAAGAAATATCTTGTTGTGAGTCTTATTAGCTGATAGGACTATGTTTTGTTACATTTTTTGTGTATTGCTGGTATTACTCCGATTCTGTGACTTAACAAGTAAGAAAAGGTACAGAAACATAAAGAAACGAGATAACACCTCCATAAAGGTGTTTACTGCTTTTGCTAGTTCTTCATGGTTACTTACCTCAAGATACGCACACTGTGAATGTAGTGACTTGTGTGTGCAAATATTGTTTAAATGAAGGTTTTTGATAATGGAAACCAGTCGTTCTGTAGTGACGCCAGATAACATAATGTAGTGACAATACAGATAGTTGACACTGGTAATATTATTATGTTGTTGTTTGTTTGTCATGAGTCTTTCGACTGGTTTGATGCGGTCCTCCATTTTCGCCTATCTTGCGCCAATCTCTTCATTACCACATATTTGTTACAGCCCACATCCTCAAAAATCTGCGTCACATATTCCAATCTTTGTCTCCCCCTACAATTTTTCCCTTCAACTGTTCCTTCCATTACCAAATTAACCAATTCTGGGTGCCTCAGAATGTGTCCCACCATCCTATCTCTTCCTCTGGTAAGATTTTTCCATAGACTACTTCCTTCAAGTGCTATAACATTAAACTGTAATTGTGAAATTAACACAATAGCATAATGTAGCACAAAATTATTAATATGTACGATTATATAGGATTTGAGACTTTCGCGGCGAGTACAATCAATAAAATCTTCTCGGGCAATCAGCCGCGTTAACTGGTTACCGTAGTATACCGACGTTTCGGGAACAAACTCTGTCCCCATCGTCAGGGTTGTGATGTGACTGGATCCTCGGAAGTCGCCAGGCGACTACGGTAACCAGTTAACGCAGCTGATTGGCCTAGAAGATTTTATTGAAGTACGATTATAGATTTACCAATTTGATTTCATCTTTGTCGGAAGCTGGGAAGATGGACGATTCCGAATGGAGCGGTATCAAAGAAGAAGCGCCTTAAACAATCCAACGAAAAGGATGCAGAAGAAAGAAATAATCATATGGCCTGCTTGGAAATGTTCATCTCACCACCGATTTCGAAGAACGCCGCAGTCACATTTTCTGTTTCTCTTTCTCAGAGTAGTTTTCTTTCCTTCTTCGTATCTGGAAGTACCGCTTTCGAAACTCAGCTTGGAAATCGATATTTTTCGTAATTTCGCTGTTCAGTACCTATACGCAAATACGTGGCTAGAATTTCCCAGTCGGCCAGAAACGTTTCAGCATCTTTTTAAATTAATTTTTCAGTTCCTCATACATTCGATGATCTACTATCTCTTCGACGATGAGACTATTAGGATTTTTCATACCTGTCCTTGATGTTCGTTTATTGCAGACATAATTCTAACAGGTCGGACCGTTCATGTTGGTCATGTTAGTCACGCTCCGACACTGACATTTGTTCTTGAAAAGTTATTCGCATTACAGACATTAATATTTTATGCAGAGTCAGGAATTGCCTTATCCTCACATTATGTTACGTGTTAACAATATTTCTGCTTCAGATTGTACACTTAGCATAAAACACTTTATAACTCATCATCACCTGGGCGCCCAGTTTGCCAGCAAGCAGTCTCTTCAGGTCGGTAAAGCAGGTGCTACAATTCCACCAGACCGGATCATTTTTCAAGTCTTCGAAGGTGAAGTTCTTCAGAAAGTTGTGGTTCAGGGTCCTTAAGTTGAACGGCAGATCATTATGTCTAGGAAAGATAATGGGGGAGTAATTAAAATAAACTTTTTCATAATATTAGAAGTATAATATCACTGATTAGATGTAATAATGGCGAACTTTTTTGAAGACAATGAAATGACGGGGGAATTTTTAACCCGCTCAGAAATTATAAATTTTAAAGGAATATCATTCGCTATGCAGTGGACTAGCTAGCTGTCTGTGGATTAATTATGAGTCAAAACAGGCCCCGGGGGGGGGGGGGGGGGGGGGGGGTATAATTCATGTTGGTATTAAAGTAAGATCTGAATGTTAGAAATACTGAATTCAGAATTATTAACTTTTTAAGGGCGAAATATCTCACGATCTTTCGATCACAAACATTTCCTTTCGCAGATATCTGCATAAGACAGTTTCCTACTGGGCCAAATTTACCATAGAGAGGCTACGCTCGCCATAACATAATGAACGTATCAAGATCTTCAGCAAAAACAAAAATCTAGCTAGCGTAAGCACATTCCCAGTTAGAGTTTTAAGGCACTGTTTGCAAATTCCAACTATGTGTTTCGTATGCAGGATTGGTTTAACCGAGCAAGGGACGACGTTCTGCGCTCGATCAAGTCTGTGCTCTTACATTTTTGCTTGGTGGTTGGTCTGAATAGAATTTACTTTTCGGAAATGACCTCACGACAATAACGTTCGAAGCCGGAAACGACGATTTGGTATAGTCATTTTTTTAAAACGCCGACAATATTTTCATTTTAAATCAAAGTTGTTAATGTAATATGGCAAGATGTGATGACGGTACAGCGCTAAATACAATTTTTATCGCTTAGTGAGCCATGGCTATCAAGGATTCATTAGTTCATCGTTGCCCACTTATGTCGAATTACTAGGAAACTGAACATAAAACGGTACAAACATTACGAGCCCTTAGTTGCTGCGTTTTTGTTGAGGTCAACCTGCATATTTTATCATTGCCATATAAATGTCAAATCAGACCTACCATTACAACTACTAAATCTAATGTCCTCTTCCAAAAATGTGTCGCAAATACTTTACTGTAAAAGTCAAATGACGCCCACTCGAGATTCGGTTCAACGTGTGTTAACACCCTGTGAAAACTAATTAGTTAGAATATTATATTTTGCTTTTATATTTTTTGACAAATTTCTGAATTATATTCAGTCAAATAACTTACCGCTATTTAGCAGTGTCATAACTTTATCGTCTTTATCGTGAGGCATTACTCACTTATTGTTTGCGTTAGAACCAGTAACTGATAAACAAGCTAAAATAAGTAATTACAGAACAGGTTTATAATCGAAACTATCAAACGCCTGATAATCCGGGCGAACAAGGCCGGTGTTTGCAGAATGCGTGTCGATCGTAGCGTCGAAAGCGACAAATAGCTCGACCTGTACAGTTTCGAGGGGCGTGCTGTGCCCCTCTTCACACATGTTCCTTACCCGTCTATGAGGGGGACAATGTCGAGTATGTCGGCACCAGATGCAGCTTCTTCGCCACCCAATGTGGCGGCAAGTATGATGGCGAAAATGACCAAGGCACCAAGCACCACTGCACTACTCAGAATGCACACTCTGGAAACTGAAGAGAGAAAAGCACTCAGCAAGCAGCGGCATGTTGACAAACTGACAGTTGCTCAGATACCACGCACTTAAAAATTCCGAAGGTATATCGACTGCTACAGAACTATTTCTTGAGCTAGTTGAATCGAATCCACATATTAAAAATCTGCTCCTCATTCAATCCTGAAAATGGAGACAATGTTCCTCCGATATATCGATATATACCTATGAGTCTACACGGCATCAAAACCCAAAACATCACCAACTTTACCTCGTGAAAATACCAAACCTTTACAATTTTAACATTAATTGACCTTCTGGCCGTTAATACAGCACACTGATAATAAAAAGAATTGAATTAAACAGTATCCTCTTAATTAATCCTTGTCTCTTAAGTGGTCTCTTTAATTAACATTTTCTTATCAAAATCGTGATTGCATTCTAATCCACGCTCATTATTATTGATTTGATTGCCGTAGCAATCATTTACAAATACAACAAATTATGAAGCTCTTCATTATGATATGATCTCCATCCTCCTGATATTACCGCTGCCTTAGGTCCAAATGTTTTCCTCAGCACCCTGTTCTCAAACACCCTCAATCCAAACTGTTCCGTCGCGGTAAAATGTCAAATTTCACACCCACGTGAAGCAACAGGTAAAACGACAGATTTTATTTTAATTTTTTACATTTTTTAAATATGACACAGCAAGGCAAATTGTTAGGATCTGGTTGGTAGCAAATATTTACAGAATTTATGTGCTTTTTATTTCCTCGTGAATATAATTTTTATCTGTTACTGTCATTCTCAAATTCTTAAACTTTACCACATTTTCAAAACGTTTATTAATTATTTTAATGTCATCACATTGTCCTGTATTCTCGTGACAAGACATGAACATACGAGGTGCGATCGGAAAGTTTCAAGACTGCGCGTATAAAAACCCGTACACTTATCTCAGGTATTAAATTAATCCATCACCCTCGAAGTAGTTTCCCTGGGAGTGAACACAACGATCCCAGCGCCGCTGCCAAGCCTGGAAGCATCCCTGGAAATCTTTCTTTGTCAGCCTGTCAAGCACCATCTGCGATTCTGCCTGAATCTCTTCTATCGCCTCAAATCTCCTTCCCTTTAGCTGCATTTTCATCTTTGGGAAGAGGAAACCTTAGAAAGGAAGTTGGGGTCGGTTCTTGCAA